TTTAGTTCGTTGGACGAACTCATCACCCTCGCAAACGATTATGAGAACATTAACAACGAGGAGCGCGGAAGAGAGGAAAGACAAGCAAGAGTCTCAAGGCGTGGTAACATACCTCTTGAAGATGCTAACGCTGAGGAAAAAGGTAGGAGGATAAAACATGATAATTCCTTCCCACGAGCAAAGAAAGATATTTCATTTGCGGAGATCGTGCCAATAAACATCTCAACAGCATGCTTCCGGTGTGGCAAACCAGGCAAACATAGCTAGAACGTGCCGGAATCCCCAAATCCTATTTTGTTGTGGCTGTGGTAAACGGGATGTATGGATTATTGAGTGCTGTAATAGAAGGCCAGAAAACTCCGGGAGGCCACGTCTACCACAGCCCCGAGACGTGGCAAAAAATCAAACACAGGGGCCCAACTGTTCACAATAGAGCATAATCGACTCTTTGCGTGATTATTTATCGAAGGACAACCGATGAAGGCAATTATCGACACGGGAGCCAGCAAAAGTTTTATAAACCCTAATGTAATACGAAGCGTGCCCGGAAAGGTTACCGACACGAATATAGTGATTCGATTGGCGGATGGCTCTCCACGACAGGTTAGCAAAAGTTTCAGAGCGATAGTTAAGAGAGGCAAGAGAGGAGTAAAAGATGGACTTCTTACTACTGGATGGAATGACACAAGAGGTAGTATTGAGGATGGACTTTCTAGCCCTAACGCAAAGTGTACTCAATGTTGGTGGTATTAATATAAGGCTCGATGGAAGTACACCACCAAGTGAACAACGGATAGTATATAATTCGACGTTGAACGAAGCACAGACTGTCGAAAATTTTCTCCAAAAAGAATTGACGGATTTTGATACATTGAATGGATTGTCAGACATCGCCTCCCATGTTATCATTATGAGAGATGACAAACCTATCAAACAGCGATACTACCCAAAGAATCCGGCAATGCAGAAAATCATTAATCAGGAAATTGATGAACTCCTCGAAAAGGGTGTATAGAACGCTCCACCAGCGCATATAGTTCCCCGGTGGTGCTCGTGAAGAAGATCGCACGCTGGAAGAGCATATGACAAATTTAAAGGAGAAAAAGTTGAATATCAAGAAAAGCCATTAAAGATCTCCCGGCGCCGAAGAACATCAGTGAATTAAGACGCTGCATTGGAATTGCCTCATGATACCATCGATTTGTTCCGCAATTCTCGAGTACTATACAACCCTTAACTCAGTTGTTGAAGAAGGGTAAGCGATGGCAGTGGAAGTCGAAACAACAATCCGCATTTAACATATTGAAAGAAAAGTTGACAAGCGCTCCAATCTTGGCCTGTCCCAACTTTAATGAGTAATTTATGTTACAGACAGATGCCAGTAACTATGGTCTAGGAGTTGTCTTAACGCAGAAGATAGATGAAGAAGAGAAGGTTATTGCTTACGCCAGTTGCACACTACACCCAGCGGAGAGGAATTACACCACGACAGAGAAGGAGTGCCTGGCAATTGTGTGGGGTGTCAAGAAAATGCGGCAATATGTTGAAGGGTATCATTTCACAGTCATTACAGACCACTTGGCTCTGAAATGGCTAAATAAGATTGATAATCCTTCTGGTCGCATTGCGCGATGGGTGTTAGAGCTCCAACAGTATAATTTCGAGGTACAATACAGGAAGGGTAAGCATAACATAATAGCAGACGCTTTATCACGACATCCCCAAACTATACTTACACAGCTAGATACCAACGAGGGCCAGGAAGATGCATGCGCATGGCTCAGCAATCTGAAGAAAACAGTATTGAAGAACCCGAAGAAATACCCAGAATACACCGTAAAGAACAAACAATTATATCGCCGCCTTCCAACACAGTATGGGAATGAGGGACAATCCTCTTGGAAACTATGCGTACCACGAGGAGAGACATGGAGGACAACAAACAACCATACTTCGAGTATTCTTAGTATTCTTCAATAAATTTTCGAAACGGGTGGAGATAATTCCTATATATATTGGAAAATATATATATATATATAAATATATATATCCCGAAGATTTTGATAACCGATAACGGAACGCAATTTACAAGTCACGTTTTTAGGCAATTCTTAGATGGCCTGGGAATTAGGCATCAAACCACCGCACCATACTCTCCGCAGGGCGACCCCACTGAGCGTGCTAATCGCACTATAAAAACAATGATTGCACAGAACACAGAAACAGAGCAACGGCGTTGGGACGAAAGTTTACCTGAAATAATGTTGGCCATAAACTCCAGTATTTCCGCTTCAACAGGCTTCACGCCAGCGTATGTTGTCCAAGGAAGGGAACCACGATTACCCAGAACATTGTATGATGATGTAACTCCGGGCATTGGAAAGAAGTCAGAGTCACCAGACAGTAAAGCACGACATTTGATCGAAATTTGTGGGATAGCCAAAAGAAACATGGCCAAAGCAGCACTGGATCAATCTAGGTATTACAACTTACGCAGACGGGAATGGAAACCATTACTTGGGGAGCTGGTCTTGACAAAAACGCACCCACTGTTAAAAGCACAAGAAGGTTTTGCTGCGAAACTTGCAGCAAAATACACAGAACCCTATGAGGTTATTGATTTTACGTCACCAGTTATAATAAAATTGAGGGAAATGTCCACGGATAAGGTTATTACGGCACATGTAAGTCAGTTAAAGCGATATCAATACTAGAAGAGGTTAATGTTTTTTTATATACATATTTTATTTCAACATACATTTACATCTTATACCGTTGGTAATATGATTTCTCTTAGAAAGACAAGAAAATGGTGAATATATTAAACTTACAACTGAAAATAAATCGGTGTGGACGATTGGTATATAATTTCAAGGATTCTATTATTTAAAAAAAAAAAGTTTACCTAGAGCGGGATGATGCCTTTAAAATGATTAGGCTAACTTTTATTAGTGTTGTTAATGAATAAATTTAAATAGCGTTTGTAATTATTAATTTGAAAAAAAAATAGTTAACAATCAGGAACACAATAATTATACATAAATATAAATTTTGAAAATTCTGATGTTAAAAAAAGACATCGTGCAAGTATATTAGAACATGGGAAATTATGGATATATAATTCTTTTTTATTAAAAAAAAAAAAATCTAATAAAATATTGCGTACAAATATATCATAAATTCATTATAATATCAATATTAATATAGGATATATGTATTATAATATATTATCGAATAAGTTAGTAAGCAGAATTGTTATAAATACATTATAATTTATTAAAATATATTATTATATAAGTTAGTAAAAAAAAAAGAGTTGTTATAAATACA